ATTTTACTATTTCACAGATTACATTGAGACTCATCAATTCATCTTCAATTTTTCGGTCCCTAAGATTTATTCAATATCAAATTTTTATTATATAAAAAATAACTAAAAGGCTATAAATTCTAGAGACATAACGTTCACAACAATGAAACACAATTTTGACATAAAATCTAAAAAAGACCACATCCTCATTAGTCATCATGTGCATCAATAATCACATTACATATGCCCCAAAAAAAATTAGCTATTTGCTAGACCCATTTCAACAACGATTTGGATTCTTGCAAGTCTTTTTTGTATGACCAGCTTGATGGCATCTTAAACAGTGGTATGTTTTTGTGTTTTGGAATTGTGATTCGCGCCTCGTAGTTCTTGGTCTTTCAGGAGGTCGACTAGTTTGAGGTGGTTGGAGAAAAATTTGTCTCATTATATTTTCCATCCTTAAGTTATTTGGGTTTGGCATATCAATGGTTATAACAGGTATCATGCTCCTTCTATAAATCTTCTCTTGTGTTGTAATCTTGTAGCAGTCTTCAACATAATCATACACATTACCATGTACGAGTTTGATGGCCGTACAAGCGTGTGGACATGGAATTCCAAACATTTGCCATGCTGCACAACTGCATTGATGTGCACGAAGATCAACCTGTAAGTCTCCAAAAGATGTATGAACACAAATCATGTCTCCATAATGTTCAGCTAACATTTGTTCAGCTCTAGCCACATGCTCTCTCACTTTTGATTCTATGTTTGGACCAACAATAGTTTTCCACTTCCTCATTGCCATACTTGATGCATACATTTTCTTTGCTACCTTTTCTCGATGCTCATGGATCAATTGAGCAACATTATGCCTCCTCTTCTTCACCATCCATGCATTGAACGACTCAGCAAGATTTGTTGTTATATTGTCCCATCGTTTAAATGGAAACTTGTTTAAAGCCCACCTATCAACATCCCCATGATTCTCAAGCCACTGAAATAATTGTGAAGAGAAACTTCTCATATTTTCCATAGCATCATTGAACTCACTTTCAAGCCTTGCATATGCAATGTCATCAAGCAATTTTAGCGCATCATCCTTGCTTTGGGCACTTGTCCTTTTCTTACCTCTATTTAATTTCATCAATTTTGCACTAAAGTTTTCCTTCACGTGTCGATAGCAAAATGCATGACGCTCACCACCAAATATTTCCCGTACAGCTCTTATTATAGCATTGTGACGGTCTGAAACAATTGTCAATTCAACTAATCCTATTATCTTTTTAATCATAACCAAAAACTATGTCCAGTCCTCATATGTCTCTCCTTTTACAATACCAATTGCAAATGGCAACAATTCATTATCTACATCATATGCGGAGGCTGATAGCAAGGTGCCCTTATACGGGCCACTTAAATGAGTTCTATCTATATATAGTATATGTCTTGCCTCAACCATGAATCCTTCTATACAACAACCATATGCTATGAAGACACGCTCAAAAATGTTATTATGAGAAGCTACCCATTTAGCCACAGTTTTTGGATCAGTATCCTTTAACCGTTGACATATCCATGGTATAAGCATATAAGACTGCTCTGGTCTACCCTGAATCTCCTCAAGTGCTTTTTCCTTAGCAGCATATGCTTGTTTATATGTGAGATTCACACCATAGTCTCTTTGTAATGTTTTCCTAATTTTGTTTGGACCCTTGTCTATGTGAGACCTTACCTCCTCAATTATAATAGATGACGTTAGACTAGCTCTTCGAGCATGTATCACTTGAAGGTTGTCTTGAGCATGATGAATGTGTTCATCTTGAAATTGTGTCACACGTAGGAAAGGAGTTTGCTTCCCTATCGCATTTGCTGTTATCTTCCAAGGATACCCTTCAATTTTACATTTCACAGACATCCTATCCTTGCTATTCTTCAAAAATTTGTATTGAAACTTGTGAGCAATACTATACTTGTAGAGTGCCTCTAAAAGCATCAGCATTTGCAAATGTTTGCAATACTCCTGACAACAATTTTTTCCATTTCAATGAGTTCAATTCAGGCATGGGTGTGGTTGCACTTTGTACTCTACAAGGTAGGCTACTAGGTCCTCCAAGTGCTTCATTTGTTAGAGGGCTTTGTTCTGAGCCTCCTAGCAATTCCTCGGTGCTGCATAACTCAATCACAACTTTTGTTACTAACAATAACACTATAATGAATGCCAATTTTTTTTTTTAAAAAAAATAATAACAACAACAACAAAGTCACTTACACTTGTTGCTCATCAAATGTTTCCTGTACATTGTCATTTTCTTTGCATGCTATATACACATGCCCACTTCTCTCATTATGTTGAAATAGGTTTGCAAGTTCCGCATCATCAATAAGATTTATTAGGGTCTTCTCATCAAAAGTCACAGTGTATTTCATCTCGACATTATTACCATCAATGCCAATCCATGATGTTATCATTATTCTCATTTCTTCAAGTGTCATCCCCTCTCTTATGGTTTTTAATCTTACTCTCCCTCTATTATATTGAATTTAACCTTCAACATTCTTCACAAATTGTCCATCTACATGAAAAAAACAAAATAGTTCTTTTGCAAATGTTGATCTGGAAGGAGATGTCATTTTTAATACCAACCTGCAATGAATAAATTAATTTAATCAGTATTTTGATTGGATTTAATTGAAACTTTTTTAAAAAATAATATGATTAACACGTGACTAAAAATGGTTGACAGGTTAACTAATAACTAATGGATAAAAAATATGAGTATTCGTGTGATTGTTCAACAACTTCCACATACAACATTTTATATTGTCGAATGTGAGAGTTTATCAAAAAGATATAAACTTAACATTGCTCAATGAATCTCTCATGAATCAGGTAATCAACACAAACATATTGATCATTTAATTAGGTTTGAAGTTGGTCGGGAAGAAAAGCTTCCATTAGGTTTGGAGATTCACAATGGTTAGCACAGATGCAGATGATCATATGTAATTATATATTATCTCAAAGATTATTATACTTTCAAATTTAAATCAAAACAATGGCACAAACTAAAACATGAATAAGATATTGGTTCATACCGTAGGAATGTTATTTCAAAGATGATTCTTCTTTTGCTTGTTGTGCCAGTTCTCCTTCCACTAGAAGTATCGCTAGCGAGCCTTCTCTTCTCAAGCAAAAAAAATGATGAATTGATCAATCGTTACGTGATTTGAGAAACCATAAATTTAATATTGATAGATATGGAAGAATTCGATGAATCTTTAATTCATTATCATGTTTTTTTATCTTGATTTTTAATTGTTTTTTATTAAAAATTTCAATTAAATCTACTAGAATAACTAAATTAAAAATCAAGTAGATTTAATTGAAATTGAATGTAGGTCGTAAGCTTGAAATTAAAAATCAAGTAGATTTAATTGAAATTGAAGATGAATTGATGAGTCTCAATGTAATTTGTGAAATAGTAAAATTAATTTTAATAGATATTCAAGAATTCCGTGAATCTTTGATTTGATTTTTTTCTTACACCCAAAAAAAAAATCTTTCATCCTATCAATATTTGATATTTAAAATCGTAAAATTTTTATTAGTTCCCATATTTTTATAATTCTATGGATATCTAGAAATTATGTATTTTTTTATCTTGACTTTTCAATTATTTTTTATTGGTCATAATCATGATTTTTCTTTTTTTTTTGTTTTTTATATGATAATGTTTTTGGCCAAATTTTCATATGATAATGTTTAAATAAAAAAACATGTTAGTTAAATTCAATTAAAAGAGTTAAAACTAAAATTAGGCTTTTTAATTACAAAGGGTATTTTGGTCTTTTAGCAACATTTAGAAATCCCCAATAAAGCCTCTTGGCTTAATTAAGAATTTGTTAAAAGTGTAGGCTTAAATTAGGATTTTGCTATTTCAAATGGATTTAATTAGAATTTTTCCTATTAAAAAAGTTGATTAAGTTAATTATTTGTAATAAATAAATATTGTCTTCTTTTAAATACTCTTATTAATTATATATGTTTGAATTATCAATTGATACTAACTCTTTAACATATGTAACTACTATAAAAATTATTTGATGACAAAATAGATAAATATTAGAAATAAAGTATATGAAAATTTTATATTTATGATCAAATTTAAAATTAGAGTTAGAAAATATTAGAATAACAAAATAATTAATTTTCAGGATATTGATCCCAACTGGGGTCAGTCACCGTTGGCACGTAGTCTAGTCACCCCGTGTGACTCACACCCTTCGAGCCACAATCTACACAACACGCGCGGGCACTCTCTCCCTCTCTCTGTCTGCTTCACACACAAACGGATGCTTGAATGGCATTACGGTGAATTCAGTATCAATATGGCCATTTTCACTTTCTGCTCGTATTAATCCAACCCTCTGCCTCTCTGAAATCCCTTCATTTTTTAAAACCCATGATGATTTTTCTGCTTCTCCCTTCACATTTCCCGGGTTTTCTCATCGATACCTTTTCCTGTTTTCGGAGAAGTTTCTCGGCGGACATGTTATTCCGATCTCAATCAATCCACCTCTGAATTCTGTCTGCGTAGATCTGCACCGCTTGGATTCTGCCCCATTAAACGCTGCGTAGGCCTCCGAATCTACTATCCGGTCTGGAGTCCTCCGATTTGAGCTGTATATCTACTTCATCCGTAGCCGTTTTGCTCCGATTTGCGGCTCCGTCGTGTTGGAGCTGCGAATTAGTGAGCTGTGCTTCAGCCGCTGAATCATGTCGTTTTGATGAAAATTGCTGACTATAGCAGAGTTTGTGGTTTGTATTTGAATGTTTTTTTGGTCCAGCCTCTCTGGGCTTTCCTTTTCCATTATTGATTCCTTGATCCCGACGCGTGAAGCGTTTTGTTTTGTTTTCTGATTATTTTCCGCTGCTAAGAAATCTGGCAATTATACCTCCAATTTACGCTCTTCCGGTTCGTTCTCGTTACGCTCTTCCGGTTCGTTCTCGTATCTCATTTTCCGTCTGAGAGCTTTCTCAGCAAGCATGATGACGTCTGGTACCAGGCTACCAACCTGGAGGGAGAGAGAAAACAACAAGAGGAGACAGAGGAGGCGAAGAGCCATAGCGGCGAAGATCTTCTCTGGTCTGAGAATGTATGGCAACTACAAGCTCCACCAGCACTGCGACAACAATGAAGTCTCGAAGGCTCTCTGCAATGAGGCTGGTTGGACTGTTGAACCTGACGGTACCACATATCGCAAGGTACTTTAATCTCATTCCTATTATCTGCTCCTATTGTTGAACCTTGCAGTTTTACAATTTTTGTTTTGGTGTTTGTTTTTGGGTCATTTGCTAAACCATTGGATCAAAGAACTGCATTACTTCTGCCCTGAATTTGGTCTGGTTTAGAATCCATCTTAGTAATGTTAGCTCCGTTGGTTATATTAGCATTGATTTAGTTCAGTTGTTATATGAGCTAGTCTGGGCACACCGTCGTATCTGTTATCATGCGGGCCTTGCAATGCCACATGCTGGGGTCACCTATAGGCTAAAAGCCGATCTAGTTGGCTTGTTACAGCGATGCTATGTTTTCTACCCTTCAGTTCTTGTTAATGATATGAGTCGGGCTGGATTCTTTCTTTTTGTTTCTGTTCCCCTCTCGCCGGTCTATGATAGATCTGATCGGGAGCTGCCTCTCTCTCCTGAGCAAGAAGCACAAAAGATTCTCTATCTTCTAGTTCTTGAATGGCTCGTAAGAGTCCATGGAGACTGAACTTTGAAGGGCGTACTGGCATAGATCTCGAGGAGACGAAAATGGCCGTCATATGTTGACAAAATGACTTTCTTAAATTCCTACCTGAGCCTGGGAATTCGAGAACATAAAGGGGTAAATTTGGCGGTTCAGGTATTTTCCTTGTTGTAATTAGTTGTATGCTGCGCTTGTTGCAACGTGACAGGAGCTTTTACAGACAATGCACTGGCACTCTGATTTGGGTAGTCCGTTTTCCTCAGTTCCTGTGATTGTTTTTCTTCTTTTGTGGGGTTGCAGACTAGCAGTTTTATTCATGCGGTGCCCTTATTGATGGCGCTTCCCAAATACCTTGATAGAAGTTCAAGTTGTTTTAATTCTAGAGGGCACAGCGTTGAGTAAAATGACTAAACTCTGCTGTATATCTTTTGTACATTTTAAAAATCCACGGATGCTGGTTGAGGATTTTTCCCCAAATGGTATCTTTTAATATATTTTTTTTTAATTCAAGAAATGATCTATTAGCAAAGCAATTTGGCATCATGAAAGCTACATGCATGATACTACACGTAAATAACTGTTGTAATAATTCAGTCTAACTTGCATAATGAATTCAGGTATTGTCATAATTATTGTTCAAGTAAAAGATGGCAATAACAAAGTTAATAGATATGTAGATGTAATTTACCACTACTATTGGTCTCTAACCCAAGACATAAAAATGGAGGTATTCTATCTCATATTCACGAATCAAATACTCAGTCATTTGTGTTTGTTACAGCTAATGCTCCCATCATAAGGACTCTCATTATCACCTTGGCGCTTTTTACTATCTTCTTCGATATCAAAGGTTGTTATAACAGGCTATGATTGTCTTACCAGATGATCTTCTCAATTTAATTGATCTATTTTTATTTTCTGTGATTAAGTATCTGGTGTCAAATAAATTCACCAGTAGATGTCAATCCAATTGACGATCAAGTTGATAGTTTTCATCTTCATTATATTGTATTTATTAAATTGGACTGGTCGTTGGGCATTTCAATATGAAAATTATGTCCCATAGTTGATCTTTGGACTGTTTCTGGTGTCAAATAAATTCACCACTTCCTATATTGCTCCCTCCCTCTCAAGACATATTTGGAAAGCTTTGCCTCCAGAAATTGATGATGTCCATATTTGCTTTTCCAGCAACTTCAGAGTTGATCTTTGGACTGTTTCTGCTATACTATTTCAAGGTCTTCGAGAGACAGATAGGTTCCAATAAATACTCAGTCACTTTTATATTTAGATTCCTGAATTTTTATGCAATCTCCTAATATATTTCTAGGACCAATTTGGACTGATCAAAGGTTGATGAATAGACTAGCATATGTTTAAGATTGATGCCTTTTGCTGAACCATTTTTATGGAAATATCTCCACTCCTTATGCAGGTCTTTATCACATGGTCCATATTAATATCACTACTGTTTGAGGTGCTTTCTATAGCAATCTTAAGAGGTTTTCATTCTCAATGTAATATCACTACTGTTTGATCTGCTTTCTATAACTCAAAATGTTAGCTTCTGCTTCATATTTTGTCCCTGCACGGTGCTTATGCCCATGTGCTTCGTTTTCTTCTCAACGGTTGTGGCCTCTTTTATAAAATGCTTTCCCAGCACCAACATTAAAAGTGGTTGTTGGTCATGGTTTGTGTTAGTGGCATGTATCAGTAAATGGACTTTAAAATGCTTGACATAGTGCAAGATGACCTACTGAATTTATTATTAATTCCTCAATACCGTATGCGATCATGTATAGGACAATATGTTGGTTATAACCGCATTACTTGCATTATTTGATATTTTGACAACTAAATATTATGAAGTTTTTGTCATGTAATGTTTTAATTCATAATTTTTATAATTAATCTGTTGTTTTTAATTTGTTCACTTTGCTGGTGGGTGCTTTGAGTTGGACCATAGACTCCCCTTTAGGTGTACTAAGTAGGAGTAGGTTTGCTATTCCTGTCCGTAAGTGTACTTCGTATGGAAATCATCTGGAATGTATTTTAAAATGTTCAATTTCTTTCTTTCTCATTTTATGGAATTTTGACACTCTGTATAATGTGCTGGGAATGTTTCTCAATTTTCTTTGCATTCAACTTTGACCTGCACACTACTTACTGAACATGTTTAGCGAGCTATCTAAGTGATACATGTTTAAGCAAAGATTGTGAATGTCACTGAAATATAGCAGAGCTCATGGTCTTTTCAGTTTCGGCTTGTGTGGCAAGGATTCTTTAAATGTAACACGTCTGAGACTCACTTTTCAATCAACTTTTTGTCAGAAACTTTGTAAAAGGCTTCCATATCTAATGGGCGAAAGTCACCGTAGACAAATCAATTCTTAGTACTGTTGCTTAAATACTATTAAAGTTGGTGTTAAAATATCCATGAAGTAAGTTATGAAATGTCCTGTGTATGGTTATATAAAAAAGTTAGGTGACAAGGGAGAATAAAGTATTAGATAATCATAAACTTGAAGACAAGCACTGTGTTATTGTTCTTTTGATTTATTTCCATGAAGCCATTATATTATTAGAAAATTTTGATAAATATGCTGAGGCTTCGTTTTTAAATCCATTGATTTTTTTTTTTATTATATACTGAACTTGCTTAGCTTTGCAGGATCATCTAACACCTTTTCATGGAATTGAATGTAGCAGCATTGGTCAATGAAGTCTTTTAATTGCTTTTTGATAGAGCTGAAGCTTTGTATTTTAATACATTTCTGTATATATATTGCAGAGGGACGTCTTTTTCCGATCGGGAAATCTTGCATAAGCTGAAATCTTGCCTAAATTGTTATTTTTCATTGAATGAGAGCAAACAACAGTACTCAAGCCATCTACTTTATGTTGTCGAGTTTCTTTCTTTAAGGCAAGTATTATTCTTTGCTGAACGTTGTGAAACATTTTGACATTGGCAGATGTGAATGGTTGTTTCTTGGTCTTCTTTACTTAAACCATTTTTATTTAACAAAACTCATGCTTTTTTTAAAGTTATTTTACATCTAAATTTACTTTTTATTATCTATCTAAATAAGTTTTAACTTTTCAAATAACTTTTTATAAACACCAATCAAAACTTAAATCATATTCTTCCGGTCTTTAATATAAGATCCAATTCTTAAATTGGTTTTGGTCTTAAATATAAGACTCATTTTTCATATTTATCAGTTTTCTTTAAATTACTCTTATGAATGTTTCCTCAACCACAATCAAAAGAAGAGGGACAAAGGATATTACAAAAGATAACTATGGTGTTTGAGGAAAAATGTGTCACTTTTCTGATAATTAACTAACTTGTTTAATTTCCTTAATCTAATTAAATTAGTTAAATAAGTCTTATATTAAGGACCGAAAGAGTATTACATTTAACTAATTTTTACCTTAACTTCAATTTACCAAAGTCAATTGGTATAAATAAAAGTCAATTTTATTACGGTTAATCTAAACACACCATCTATTATCACGTGTCTCGTAACAGACCATGCAGTGGTATATTCCCAGCAAGGAACAAAAAACCAAACCGGATAATGAACAGGTCGAGACACTGGTTTAAGGGTTAATGGGTCAGATTCGAATCAGACCGTATCAAACAGGTAATAATTAAAATAATATAATTTAGTTAAATTAGTAAAAATATTCATATTCTAATTATACAAAATAATATTTAAATTTTTAATGGGTAATCTGCAAAATGTCCACTTATATGAAATTCTTTTACTTCTTTTTTTTTATTTTTTTCCTTTTTTTTCTTTCACTTCACCTAATAAAATTTTCCTCTCTCTCCCTCCTTTTTCTCTCTCCCACGTGTACTCCTTGCTCCACTTTTGCATTTTCCTGTCATGCATCACTGAACAAGCAGACCAGCAGAGTGGAATAGGCGGTGGAGCAGAGCATCTTGCCTCTTTGAACACGCATAGTTGTTTCTCTGTTCGTCCTCTCAAATTACTTCCTACCTTTCTCACTTCTTTCTTTCTCAAATGGAGAAGCAGCAAGCAATAGCACCATTTGTTCTCTCTGTACTCTTTTCGTTCATTCACTCTCTATTTTCTTTCTACTTGCCTTCTAGTCTTTCACATGTTTCAAAGCGACACAAAGTAAGTTCTGTCTTCTTTCACCTCAATGATCTCCTCTACTTCTACCACTTGTCTCTGTAGTGTTCATGGTCTCTACAAACGGCGAGACATCTGGCGAACGGTGAAAACAAGAAAGAAGTGGGGAAAAACCCAACTGGCCAACCCAGTCAAGTCAGCGGTTTGTCCGGTTTTTGCCGGTTTATTACGGTTCATTCCGAGTTGTTCCGGTTTAACTGGAGACCGGTTTTTAAGCTAAACCAGACCGAACCTAGACCGGTTTACCGGTTTTCCGGTTGAACCGTCCGATCCGGTCCGGTTTTTTTTTTCCTTGATTCCCAGTCACATTGAGCTTACTCATAAGCCACATTAGCTTGTTGTTTAACAATGGCAAAAACTTCTTTTCCCGTTAAGGATGAGTTATGAGTTATGTATGATAAGTATTAATTAATTTGTTAAATAAAAAAATTAAGAACTAAGTTTTAATGAGTTAAAAGTTAAAAAAACTGAGTGATAGTTTTGTTAAAATTTGAAGGAATAAAATAAAATAAAATTTTCCTCTTTTTTTTTTGCGAGAATACCATTTTTTTCCAATTGTATTCTTTGCTCATTTTAATCAATATGTGAAGTGTGATGTATGAAACTGCGGCATAAAATAACTCAGGCTGATAAAGAGTAATGATCATTGAAATATCACAAAACAGATAATTTCCCCCCCTTAAAAATGATGTGGCATTTTAAGTATAAAAGAACTCATCTTATAACAAGAGAGAAGCATGTAATTTAACAAAGTGTGAATTTTAACCCTTTTCATCATTGATGATTTTTTTTTGAAAAATGTATATGATTAATTAATATCATAAAATACTTTTAGAAAAATTAGAATCTAGAAGCATGTTTCAATTATTTAGAGTTTGCACAATAAATAATTTATATATAATTATATTTATTATAAATTTCATTTTTGTCTTAAGATCAATCATATCAACTATGAAGCGTTTCACTATTTTAGATGTAACTGTTTGATCCTTTCTATTTGTAATTTAAGAAGCACAAGACTTGTGAAAGTCTTGATTTGCTTTTCTTTTCTACTTTTCCCTCTTTCTTGTGTATTTTGTTGTCCGATTCTCAAATTCTACGTCTCCTTCCTTCACCCCCTCTCAAAATTATTTTCTGTAACTTGCAACAATATAAATGGTGTTTGGGATTTTAGTAAGTTCTGGACTTTTTCTATCTTTTGGTATTTGGATATGTCTCCTAGAATGCTTTTACAGAATATGAAACAAATGCGATAAAGGTCTCTTCATTAACCATTATATTTCTTACTTCTTAGTACTTTTCTGATTTTTAATATAAGATCTATTGAACTAATTTGATTAGATTAGGAAAGTTAGGTAAGTTAGTTAATTATAAGAAAAATGACATGTTTTTCTTAAAACACCATAATCATTTTTCCTAATATCCTCTCTCCGTCTTTTACTTGACTATAGTTGAGGGAGTATCCATAAAGGTGATTTAGAAAAAATTGATAAATATGATAAATGTATCTCATATTTAAAATCAGAATCAACCTAACAATTAGATCCTATATTAGGATTGGAGGAGTATATATATTACTCTAGAAGCTTAGTTTTTATATAGTAGTTTTTGTTCTTATTTAAGATGTATCTTAGTTGAATTAATATTTGAATAATTAAACACATACTACCTTTGGTCCTAAATATAAGAGTTAGTTAGAGATTTAATTTGATCCTAAATATGAGAGCTCAATCCACTTTGTATTTTATATTCATTTTTTTTAAAGTAGTCTCCATGATAATTGCACATACTAAATGGTTTTCATTCCAACGCACATAATTAACAAGGGTATTTTATGGAAAACAACACTCATTTATTACAAGTAACTAATTTAACTAGTTTTATTAATATTTGTAAATTAGTTATTTTTCTCATATATTAAACACCAAAGTAGTATTAATTCACTTAACTTTAAGTTTAGCTTAACCATGATTAGATGACCTTTGATCATTGAACCAATGTGTTGACCAATATCAACTCAACAACTAGTATAATTTTTGATATATCTAAGATGTTACATGTGTAGCTTTATATTATTTTAATTTAAATTAAAGGGAAAAAGACAGAAAAATGCATCTCCAACTCCAAAAGCCCAGAAACGTCCGCCCAATTCCACAAATCCCATTTTGGTACCATGAGACCAAATTGGGATTATTATGTGAAAGGAAAAGACCACATTGCCCTTCATTTTAAATATTATTTTTAAAATATCACAGCCCCTACTGGCCGGCCGGTCACTGGACCTCCGGCAGCGGCAGTCACCGGAGCTCCGGCGACCAGCCGACAATTGGTCACCGGAGCTCCGGCGGTCGGAATTTTTTTTTTTGAAAATTTTTACAACTTCAATATAACGGTTAACAACTTTTGTAATGCTATTCACAACTTTAGTATAGCAATTAACAACAGCTTTTCTGGAAAATTCAACAAACTCCAGTGACCGGAAACAATTATTTTGAAAATTTTTACAACTTCAATATAACCGTTAACAACTTTTGTAATGCCATTCACAACTTCAATATAACAATTAACAACAGCTTTTCTCGGAAATTCAACAAACTCCGGCGACCGGAAATAATTTTTTTGAAAATTTTTACAACTTCAGTATAGCAGTTAACAACTTTTGTAACCCTATTAACAACTTCAGTATAGCGGTTAACAACAACAAACTCAAGCGACCGGAAACAATTTTTTTGAAAATTTTTACAATTTCAATATAACGGTTAACAACTTTTGTAAGCCTATGAACAACTTCAGTATAGTGGTTAACAACAGGTTTTTGAGTTTGTTAAAGGCATTACTGAAGTTATAAAAAGGCCACTTTTTGAATTTTTCGAAAAACTTGTTGTTAACTGCTATATCAAAATTGTTAACCGTTATATTGGAGTTGTAAAAATTTTCAACTTCAGTATAACGTTAACAACTTTTATAATGCTATTAACAACTTCAATATAGCAATTAACAACAAGTTTTCTAGGAAATTCAACAAACTCCGGCGACTGGAAATAATTTTTTTGAAAATTTTTACAACTTCAATATAGCGGTTAACAACTTTTGTAACCCTATTAACAACTTCAGTATAGCGGTTAACAACAGGTTTTTGAGTTTGTTAAAGGCATTACTGAAGTTATAAAAATGTCACTTTTTGAATTTAAAAACTTGTTGTTAACTGCTATATCAAAGTTGTTAACCGTTATATTAGAGTTGTAAAAATTTTCAAAAAAACGTAATTGTGAACGTTATACTGAAGTTGAAAATTTTTACAACTCTAATATAACCGTTAACAACTTTTGTAATGCCATTCACAACTTCAATATAGCAATTAACAACAGCTTTTCTGGGAAATTCAACAAACTCCGGCGACCGGAAACAATTTTTTTGAAAATTTTTACAACTTCAGTATAGCGGTTAACAACTTTTGTAACCCTATTAACAACTTCAGTATAGCGGTTAACAACAGGTTTTTAACTGCTATACTGAAGTTGTTAACCGCTATACTGAAGTTGTTAATAGGGTTACAAAAGTTGTTAACCGCTATACTGAAGTTGTAAAAATTTTCAAAAAAATTGTTTCCGGTCGCCGGAGTTTGTTGAATTTCCCAGAAAAGCTGTTGTTAATTGCTATATTGAAGTTGTGAATGGCATTACAAAAGTTGTTAACGGTTATATTGAAGTTGTAAAAATTTTCAAAAAAATTGTTTCCGGTCGCCGGAGTTTGTTGAATTTCCCAGAAAAGCTGTT